CTTGGTTGCTGCTGTAAACTGTTCCACTGTCATTTCTGTAAAGGCTGTCCTCCATTATTATGCAGAATGCGCTTAAATTCCACTGCCATGGATGGAGTCAATTCTGACTCTTGACAACCCCATGTGTTACAGACTAGAAATGCTCCATAGACCTTTCAAGGCTGTAATCTTAATTGAAGCAAGTTGCCAGACCTTTCTTCCATGGTACTGCTGAGTGGGTTTGAACTGTCAATCTTTAGATTAGCAGGTGGTGTTGTTATGTGCTGTCGAGTTGGACCCGACTCACAGTAACCCCTCCTTGGGTTTCTGAGGCAGTATCACTACGGAAGTAGATTGCCCCATCTTTTTTCCAAGGAGTGGCTTGTGGGTTTGAACTGCCAGCCTTCTGGTTAGCAGTCAAGTGCCTTAGCCACTATTATCAGGTAAGGGCAAACTATTTGTGCCATGCAACAATCTTGTATGTTCTGTTACACATTACCTTTAAGGAGAAAGAAAGATGTTATTTCCTCTGTCAGTAACATACAAGAGATTTTGATCCTGTGGTTTGTGAAAACTATTTTGACAGCTTGGATATTTGGATAGCTGCCGTGGAGCACACAGATTCACGTTGCTCAATTCTCCTTAAATAGCTATGTCCCATTTCTTTAGAAAAATGATGAATTTTTTACTTTAACTGAGGTGCCATTTTATACGGGTTTTGAAGAAGGATTGCTATAGATGGGCTTTGAGGCTCTGGTACTAGTAGGAGGACTTTTTCATAAGTCCACAGTAGCAGGTAAGGGTATTGGCTTTAAATTATTTTGTTACAGGTTACCATTCTCTATTTAATGAACATTTAGTAAGAGTGTGGTCTTGATCATTGCAGAACACTCAGTATCTACTGCTTTCCTTAAAGATTAAGCAGTCAGAGAAATGTGGTTTCCCTAAAGTTCTGTGTAAGTTGCTTAGTCATGTTATTTTTTCTAGTCATGTTATTTTTTTCTAGTATATATACTGCTTATTTAAATTCATGCTGGACAGTAGAATGATTAAATGGAAGATCGTAATAGTCATAAATGTATGACTATTAGGAGGATATGTCACTTTTATAGTCTAATAATTATGCTGCCTTCAAGTAGTTTGAGGGGCAGATTTACTCTTCTGATATTTCCTCCGCATTTTAAAAAATTCTAATTTCCTAGGTGAGGAGCTCTGGTAGCACAGTGCCTAAGGCTCACCAGTAGGTTGGTGGTTCAAACCCACTAGCCACCCCACAGAAGCAAGACTGGGCAATCTACTTCCATAAAAATGTACCACCTTGGAAACCCAGTGGGGATTGCTATGAGTTGGAATTGACTCGTAAACTGTACTTGTTAACAATATTCACCCACTATGTATTTGCAGCAAAGTGCCACAGTGTGGCACTGTTGTGCTTTGGCTGAATATTTACAAACATTAACCTGTTCTGTTGCTGTAAAATCTCTATTTTGTGTGCAGTAGGAGAAAATGCTTTCAAAAGTTTATGAAGATGCACATTTATCAGATTTTTTTGAGTCATAATTTTTTGATTGCTTTCCACTGATTGTGCTAGATTACTTTTTTATGTTAATCAGTTTTTCATTAGCATCCATATTTGAAATTTTATCTTTGATTGCTCCATCATATTTAAAAATCAGCTGCCTTGTTGAATATTATGAAATTATAGCATGAAGAAACCAACAAACAGAATGACACCAAAGAAGACAATGTTGTTGTTGTTGTTTGCCATCGAGTCGGCCCTGACTCATAGCGACCCCTCCTTGGGTTTCCGAGGCAGTATCACTACGGAAGTAGGAATGCCCAACCTTCCTTCCGAGGAGTGGCTGGTGGGTTTGAACCGCCAGCCTTCTGGTTAGCAGTCAAGTGTCTTAGGCGCTGTGCTACCAGAGCTCCTAAAGAAGACAATAGGCATATCTTTTTAAAATATTTATACCTTTTGGATATTAATCTGTTAAAAACTGTGCTTCTACTCTAAGTATATAATGCTCTCTTCCAAATCCAAGCTACCCGTTCTTATCATTGCTGTTATTTATATAATTCATATCAGAATCTATTCAATAAGAGACAGTTTATGATTCACATGGATCTAGTGCTCCTAGAGGAGCTCTGGTGGCATAGTGCCTAAGGCACTAGACTGCTAGCCTGGTGGTTTAGATCTACCAGCCACTCTTCGGAGGAAGGTTGGGCAGTCTACTTCCATAGCGATACTGCCTCAGAAACCTAAGGAGGGCTTGCTATGAGTTGGATCCAAGTCAACGGCAATACGTTTGGTTTGGTTTAGTGCTCCTAATATTTAAAATTTGTAGTATTATCTTTAAGGACCTCTGGTGGTGTAGTGGATAAGGCACTTGACTGGTAACCGGATGGTCAGTGGTTCAAACACACCAGCTGCTCCATGGAAGGAAGACGGGCAATCTACTTCCATAAAGATTTACAGCCTTGGAAACCCAATGGGGTCACTTTGAGTTGGAAATGACTCCATGGCATTAAGTTTTTTTTTTTTTAATTTTGTCTTTGTAACTTTTATAAGGTACAGTACTTTTTTCTGAGGTATAATTGTCCAAGTCAGTATGTACTAGTACTCATTTTAACTGGCGAGTTTTTAAAGGTGCTTCCAGTTAATGAAGTGTTGGGGAATAAGCACCAGATTACCAAAGGGGTCTGTGTCCCAAAAAGGTTAAGAACTTTCTACCCTGGAGCTCCTCAGGTAGCAGTTTAATATTTCAGTTTCATTACACAAAGTGATTTTGTAGCTTCGCTGATGTACTTTAGGAAATAACAGTCTTTTAAAGTTAATATGAACAGATACAAACAGTAAACATTGATTTCTACTGTGGATTAACATAGAGTACTAGGAGGAGAAGAGTTAAGTGAGTCTCATGAACCTGAAAATGAATGAGGAAGTTTGTCTTGCTCTAAAGGACCACAAGAGACCATTTTGAATATTTTGAAGTTGGGGTGATAGGGGAATTATAAGTTTATAATTTATAGGCAGTTATAAACTATCCTTAATATTTAATATATTCATTTAATATTTAATACATAACTTTAGAGGTAACTAGAAAAGATGCTGTAGACTCTCTATAAGGAAAGATAACTGTAAACTCTCCATAAAGATAAGGATCGCATCTGTTTTGCTTATCATAATATTCCTAGTATATAGCACTTACTCATTTTGGGAGTGGATGATCATAATAGGAGTTCTAATTGTCTATTCAGTTCTCATGGAATAAGTTACTGATTAAATGCTTGTAAAGCGCTAAGTAGGAGAAATAGACCTCTGCTTTTTTTTCTAAACATACTTCTTCCCATAAGAAATGCCCATCGAGAATGTGGTGGCACCCGTACCCTTAAGAGTTGCAGGAGTCTCTCTGTCTCTGGGTGGTGCAAATTGTTAACTGCTTGACTACTAGCCTAAAAGTTAGCGATTTGAACCCAACAAGAGTCATCTCAGAAGACAGGCCTGCAGTGTTTCTGAAAGGTCATAGCCTTGAAAATCCAGTGTACCACAGTTCTGCTCTGACACATACAGGTTTTCCATAAGTAAGAATCAATTTGACAGCTGCTAACAACAATAACAAAATAGTCATTCTACTAATATGATTTGGATAATTGATTGATAACAAAAGCTTTAAGAGTTGTGGTCAACTAGTTAGGAATCTCGAATTCTGAGTTGAGTATTTTAGAAATGAGAGTTCAAGTTTAGACAAACATGCAGTTGTAATCTAGAAAATACAGTAGACCAATACCTTGTATTATAATTTATACTTTAGTCCTGAGAATCAGATCTCTTGAGTTCTGTCTTCAGCTTTTTCCAACTTTTTTATAGCTGAGTTTTCTCATTTTAAAATGAGGACATTCAGTAACAGTCCCAAAGGCAAATTAAAATTCTGTTACTAAATCCTTGAAGACAGAAGGATGCTTTTAACTAATCTTTGTATCTTCTAAAACTATGTTGTCCCATATGGTAGCCATTAGCCACATTCAAATACATTTAAACTAATTAAATGAAATAAAGTTTCATTTCCTGTTACACTGCTACATTTTAACTGCTCTGTTGCCCTATGTGGCTAGTGCTTCCCATATTAGAGCAAATATAGAACATTTCTCTCATTATAGAAAATTTTGTTAGACAGTGTTTTTCTGTTACTTAGGTACTCAGGAAGTATTTGTTGGATTAAAGAATGAATACTGGGGTAGTTTTTACATCATTTAAGTAGAACTTGCAAGTTAAGCTACCATTTTAGGTGGTTAGACATTAGTCATTTGTTTTTAGAATGCTTTGGCATATTTTGTTTATTGAGCAGTGGCACTAAGAAGATGCTTCAGATGAAAAAAGATGAAGTTATTTCACAGTGGCATCCCAGAAAAGAAAAAGAAAATACGCTGTTTTTATTTGGAAAAGTCAAGATTAGAAAACATGTTGAAAAACAGTCATTTGAAAGAAATAAGCATATATTACTTTTCCAAGCATAGCAATGACTTAGAATAAGAGAATGATCTTGAGCTTTCTACCACTTTCCCCACAAAATTACAATAAAAGCATTGTTTCCTTTTTTGTCTGCTGTATAGGAAAAATTTAAATTCCAAAATAGGATAATGTGTTGTGGGCTTCTGGTAAATATCCTATCAGCTATAGGAAATTTCCTCCTAGTCTAATAATTTAGAGTTTAAAAAGTTATGGCTACTAAATTTCAGCACATTTATGAATAAAAACATATGATTTTCCTTCTTACTTAAATTTAAGAATTCACTTCAACTTTACTAATTAATAAATGTTAAATCAACTTTCTGTCTCTGGACTAAAGCCTGCTTGTTCTGGTATTTTATTCTTTTAATTTCCACTTTGATCTGTTGATATTTTGTATAGCTTAATGTGACTACATCTGAAAATAAAATTGATCTATAATTTTCTTTGTTGTGCTGTCTTTAATAATTTTGTTAACAAAAGAGCTATTATTCTGTATTTTCTCAATTGACAGGTCGTGGCTCAATTCCAGAATTCTTTCATATTATGAAAAGAAAGTTTACCAACAAAGAGTGGGAAACAATCAGAAGTTTTAAGGATGAATGGACTCAGCTGGATATGTTTTATAGGAATTGGGTATAATTTTTTTCTAATTTGAGAATAAAAGTCGATGATTCCCACAACTTTGAGCAAAAGTATGTCATTTGCACAGTAGTTCATATAGTTATTGAAATAAATGAGTCATTACTTGGAAATGTAATGATTTTTGTGTATACTGTAGTATATTATACTGACATTTATTTTAAGAAAATTTGACCTGTATTTAATGTTCAATTAGAAGGTACTTGTTATTAAGGCTAGAACAAGGTATTATATTTATCATTATTTATAAATATTGCTGCTGCTTGTGAAGAAACTCATATGCATAAAGCCTTACTTAACAGAGTTAGGTTAGCATTTACAAAGATGCCAGAAGACATTAAGTACTTCATGAGTTAATTTAATTCTCACAACAACTCTATGAATAAGATTCTAGTAGTACCCCATTCTGTAAATAAAGGAATGTAGGCGCATAGACCTGAAATGGTTTGTCACAGCTGGGTTCTGTCCATGTTTCTAAGGTGGGGGAAAAAAGATAGCTGCTAACTGTAATATAAAGTCAAACTCACTGCCATGGAGTTGATCCGACTCATAGCGACCCATCCTTGGATTTCTGATGTGGTATCGCTACGAAAGTAGCTTGCCCAAACTTCCTTCTGAGGAGATGCTGGTGGGTAGTGTAGTGTAAAAAATCCAGATGTGTTGGGGCCTGTGGATTTTATGAAGAGTTTATCTACTAAATGCACTAAGAGATAACGTCTCTTCATATCTTAGGCATTGAAAGAAAGCTTCATAAAAGCTATTGGTGTTGGACTTGGATTTGAATTACAACGACTTGAATTTGATATATCCCCATTAAACCTGGATATAGGCCAAGTTTATAAAGAAACTCGTTTATTCCTAGATGGGAAGGAAGAAAAAGAATGGGCATTTGAGGTAAGAAATTGATTAAAATTGTTACAACCATAAGTATTGCCATATTTTTATTGTAAATGCAGTATACATATACAAGGATAGATAACAGGAATCCCTAGATGGTGCAAAGTAGTTTCTGCACTTGACTGCCAAGTGAAAGATTGGAGGATTGAACTCATCCAGAGGTGGCTTGGAAGAAAGGCCTGGTCATCTGTATCTGAAAAAAATCAAATAATAGGAACCTCTGGAACACTGTTCTCTGACAAACATGGCTTGCCATGAGTCAGAGTCAACTGACTGGTACTGGTAGGCTAGATACAACTGGAATTCAGTCCTGGTGCTCTGAAGATAAATTTTGGGATACTGTGAAAGCATAATATTTAAGCTAATAATTGAAAGATGATTGATGAGTCAAAGTTAAATAAAACTAGAAGGGGAAAATGACCTAGGCAGAGAAGACAATTTTGTAAAGAACCTGAACTGAAAATAGCTTTGTATGTATGAAAAGCCAAAGAGGCCACTTTGATTGGATCCTGATGAGGAGATTTCATAAAAATTCAAGATTAGGCTGGTAAAGTCACACAGGTGAGTTTTAGTCTCTTTATCATTTTCTGTTACTAACAAGTCTCGATGATTAGAGGAATCCAACATGAACTTACTATAAGCCAAGTCTCAGAATTAGCTAGAGTTAGGAATTGGAACACTCAGAACTTTTTTTTTTTATCTCTTACTTGTGCCTTTCTGTGTATCTTAGTTTCAGTTTTCTCCCATCAATGTGTTTTCTACACACCAGCTTTCTCAGTTTCTCTGGTCAGTGTGGCACTTTAACAACAGTCTAAAAACTTGAGAATATTGGTGAGCTATCTTTCTGTTTTAAGCACAAAAACTGGATAAGTGGCTTAATGTTGGGTCAAAGGTTTATCTCTAGACCAGTCATTGTTGCTAAAAGAGTGCTCTGATGTGATTGGCTTAGTTTGTGTTAGGTGTCCAGAGCCCACTGAATGGATTATATTATGATACGGTTGTTCCTGCTGATTACCTGAATGGTATGCAGAGAAAGGCTGTTCCCTGAATAAAAGTTAGTGATGAGTGGTTAAAAAAGGAGATGTTCATTAATTTTCTCAAGAGAATTTATTAGGTGATCAGTAGGGTGGCAGTTTGGAATGGCTAAGGGAGACCAGGAAGCGAGCTAGTGGCAGTTTGGAACAACTAAGGGAGATGAGGAAGTGAGCCAGCAGAGATTTGGAACAGCTAATGGAGACCAGGGAGCTCTGGTAGCATAATGGCTAAGGCACTTGACTGCTAACCAGAAGGCTGGCGGTTCAAACCCACCAGCCACTTCTCGGAAGGAAGATGGGGCAGTCTACTTCCATAGTGATACTGCCTCAGAAACCCAAGGAGGAGTCGCTAGGAGTTGGGTCCGACTTGATGGCATATAATAACAACAACAATGGAGACCAGGAAGTGAGTGGAGGGGTTTGGAACAGCTAAGGGAGATGAACTTGTCTGTCAGTTTGTCGTACTGTGGTGGCTTGCATGTTGCTGTGAGGCTGGAGGTGTTTCAAATGCCATCAGGGTTACCCATGGTGGACAGGTTTCAGCAGACTTTCCAGAATAAGACAGTGCTAAAACATCAAGGAGGCCACATGTTCTGACCTCCTCTAATCTCACAAGAGGAAGACAGGATTACCAGCAGTAACCCAAGGCCTATTACTGCAAGGCCAGACATGCTGCCTCCCTCCAGCCCTTTCACCAAC